TCAACAGTAATAACAGTTTTGTACTAAATAGATAATCTTTTAATGATTCTTTAATTTATGGTGCTAATGTAGACAAATTAAAAATATCGCTATATGTATGTATGTATGTATGCATCTACAATCCAACTTCCACTGTCCGGCAGTGTTTTTATTGAAGAAAAATGTTTGCAATATAATCTATTATTATCTTATACTGATCCCATTGCAAACAATTTTAGCCCGGAAGTTGAAAGGTGATAGCTCTGTTGAGATTCAGTAACCCACTTCAGAATGCCTGGTCACGCACGTCCATTCCGAGGTTTCACTTACAACAAGCCCCACATACACGTAGTACCGATATTGGTACTGCGTGTACACTTCCACAATCAAAACAATTCGTATTTAGTAGGATGCATTTCATATGTTTATATCTAGTTGTAATCAATGTAATCGGAAATTTCGGAACTTGCATAACTTGTTGCTTGTAGTTTGTTGTCATGCTGTCTTCTGCCACCTGCTCCTGTCGGTTTGTATACTTCTGTCCTTGATAATCTTGTCTTGTATTCCGAATATCTACTACTGGATTAACAAACTGAACGCCTCAACATAGTCGAAACACGATATATCACTAAATGATAACTTTATGAACACTTGAAATAGAATTTCAGCACGCAAATTAATTAATGTAAATCAAAAATTGTTAAAACAGGAAAACTTTGAGATTTGGGCGTAATTGCTTTTGTAAACAAACAGGTCAATCGCTGATTGCTCACGAATCAAAGCAATTACGCTCTAATCTCGAAGTTGTCCGGAAATATGCGGTCGAAAAAACACGCAACAAAAGAAAAACACGTCAACTTTCAAGCGCGGCCTACTGCGATCTTACAAATTAAAAATATTGCTATATTTTAATATTCATATGGCGCACTGAATTTATGCTCCTATTTGGTATAATAATCACCATAAATATTGCACGACATGCTCTGAAGCATATACAGATTGGTTCCAAATTGTAATAAAGTCGTCTGATTTTCAATTAACAATAATATCAGCTATTATAACAAACTGACATTGATCATGATTTCACATCAAACATCGAAAGAATAAAACCACAATAAAATATGTCTCCATTTTAACTATCATCCAAATAAACCCAACTTAAACCCTTTGAGGTTGTCAACATGTTTTGCGTATCATGTTTTATGGTAGTCATCAAAAGGTTGTTAAGACTTTCAGACCACGAGGAGGTTTTATGGTTTCATTTTTAACAACCACGTGTAGAGTGTCATAAAACTGACATAAAATCTATGCTCCTAAGGTAGTTTGCATATCAAGTTTAATGATTGCATTAAAATTGGGCCAATTGGCCATGACATAGCTGTATAGCGGTTTACAGGAAGTTGTTAAAGCAATGTGGTCGTCAGTCAAGGGTTTATAATTTGGTTATATCTACTGCTTTAAATCTACAATAAAACAAAAATTGTTGCTTGGGTAGTACACTTCTACCTGTGTACATTTTTTTTAATTTTTCCTCAGGAAAGTGGTCCGCGACTGGAACCATTCCTGCTGCCTGGCTTCCATAATAGTATTCACAATCCAACGCCTGACGTCTATGAGAGTGGTGTAGAGGGGACGGGATGCACCAGATCCCGCCAGTCTGTCCGGAGCCTCGTTTCCGGAACACCGCAGTGTCCGGAGATCCACGTAAAGATGGTTGAAGGTGGGGCGTACCGTGTAATGGCTTGTATCGGCTTCCAGCGCTTGGATGACGCTGTGTGAGTCAGTTAACACGAGGATCGGTTGATCTTCCGGAGTGATGGCTGCGTCTAGAATAGCTGCGGCTTCAGCGGAAAAGACGGAACACTCCTCCGGTAGACTTTGACTCGTTGCATTGTTCGGTCCTGCCACTCCGAGTCCAACTCCAGCCCGCCACCGCGATCCGTCCGTAAAGCGATGAACTCGGGATAAACCGACCCGAGAAGCTCTGCAACAGAACTTCTCAAAGCTACAGAGTTATCTCCGGTTTGGAATCCACTCTTTCCGCTTATCTATTTTGACGACGTTTGATCGTCAACTCTTCTCTCCATGCCAATGGACCCTGGCCACCGGGGGGAGGTCACGGTTGGCTGCAGTGTCGATGATTCTGTTCCCCTCGTTGAGGAGAAAGACCCTTTCGTTCCCGGATGTCTTAGCAGCGAGGGCAGCGACTTTCGTAGCAATGGCTGCAGCAGATCGATAGCGAAAAGTGAGGATTCCGATTTCCACACATGCGGTGTAGACGGCGTGGAAGGGAAAAGGCCGCATACGATGCGTACGTAGGTATTGAATACCGGAGCGAGGATGTGGTTGAGCTTCCCGGTGGCTAAACAGGTTATTTCGAGGCCGTAGAAAAGTGAACTGTCGATAACAGCCCGAGTGACACGAAGGTGGATCTCACGGTTGCTAGAGCGATGTGGGCGGGAGATTTTCCTGACTATGTTGATGCGGCTACGACAGTTTTCTTTCACCATCCTGTAGTGGTTGAAGCTTAGAGTCCCATCCAGTACTACCCCAGAACACGCACAGTTTTTTTGAGCGGAATCGCATGATCTTGGATGGTGATTGGTGGTCCTCGAATCAGATGGTCCGAGTGACAGATATGGCACAGGACACTCTTAGGCGCGGAGAGCTAGAAACCAACCGAAAGCGCCCATCTGCTGGCGGCGGAGACTGCTGCTTGAGCTATGTTCCTGGTCCGCTTAATCGTTCGGCCCGTTACGACGATGAGTATGTCGTCGGCATAAACGATTACGTGCACGTTCTTGAGCAATCGACTGAATACCCCATTCATTGCCACCACCAGGGCACTCTAGTTTCCTCGAGGAACGGATCCGAGCGAATGTGAATGTGAATCATTGACCACAACAAACAATTATGCAAAGTTTCATACAAATCGGAGAAGGTTGATTCAAAAATTCAATTTATTTTGCCTGGAACTGCTCCATGGAAAATGTTTCAAACAATCACAAACAATTGTGTACCCATCCTGCAGAAGAGCAAAATCGGAAAAAAAATTAAATCGCGTAAAATTTGCCTTTTTAAACACACACGACCGATAAGATCAACTCAAAATTCGTTCGGATTTCACTTAAATTCTCAAAACCACATTTTTATAGATTGAGTATTTTTTTTATTTCGTATTCCTCGAAAAAAAAATTGGGCGATGAATAAATTAAAGGGAAATATTTCGCAGTCTGTTAACGTACTCATAGACTGTGTAAACATTTTTCTCGGTTTTAAGCGAATTTGGGTTTTTTTTTTATTATAGTCACTTTAACACTCTTGGGTCATTCGTGACTTGTCCGGGGTGAGATTTGAACTCGTGACTTTGGCGTGAGAGGTATGGATGCTAACCACTACGCCGGGGTCGCCCCCTCGCGAATTTGGGTGAAATACAACAAAATTTTGCAAAGCAGACCGTGTAGAAAATCTATAAGTCAATTACAATGTTTTTTGCACTTAAATGTGTACATCTTTTCATTCATTGTTGATGTCATAATTAAATCAATTTTACTATCCTATTTTTTAAGAAGAAACTGTCATGCAGTGAATTGTCTTGCTCCGGATAAAATAAAGAATATATTCGCAAAAAAAAGCCAGTGACACAAATATTCACCAACCAACCTTTTGTCCGATTTTTTTTTTTATTTTAAAAAAATGAAAATGGGTGTACTTTATTGTTTCTATTGTTACCAAATATGGGCTGTCCTTTTGAAAACTTCCACGGGATGCTCTCTTCTCTGCGATCTGCTACAATAACATACAGATTTCTACCTTCAGTAGAAATGTCAGTGTCATCGGCGAACAATGATTTATGGCAACCCTGACGCAAATCAGGGAGGCCCGAAGTGAAAATGACATAAAACATAGGCTCAAGAATCCAACCCGGAAGAATTCCTGCTCTAACAGGTAGTCGTTCAGATTTGGAATTTTGATAATTTACCTGTAGAGTTATGCTAGTTAAATAATTTTGAACTAATTTTATAATAATCAGTGTTCACTCGGCTCTCGACAGAAGCAGGCCACTCTCGATGTGAGTCACACGATCGTCTGTTTACTCTGCAACAACCATTGTATGGTCCTCCGCATTGTTCTTGATCAGCAGTCCTTTCGGTCGAAGCGTCGTCGACTTTGGAAAGCAACCGTTTAGTGTTGAGCGTGTGAGTGCTGACCACGTTTTTAGTCCATTGCTGCAATGGAAGTGCTCTGTCTCCCGTTGACGTAACTGCCACAAAAATGAAACCACTGGAAGCGGCTCCAGTTCTGATGGAGCAGTCTTTTTGGATAGCGGAAAATAAAGTGTTTATTGTGTTGTACCTTTTGACTATAGTTTTAAGATGTATTGTATAGTGACCAAGAATCCTCGGCTCTGTAAAGTTAATTCGTTTGAGCCTTATCAAATAAATTAATAAACAACCAATAGACTTCCAAGCAGATTAATATAAGAATTCGAAGGCTCGAAGAGGAAATTTCCAAATCGCTATCCAAGCAAGATTATCTCGTGTAAGGTTCAAACAAGTATCGAAGGGGAATAAGAATCAATAGAGTAGAATAATTGTATACATTTGACGTTGTTTTTTCCTTTTATTTCTACTATACAAGCATGACTGAAAACACTGAAGAAGTTTGCAAGTAGTAACTTTAACAATAAGGGTGTTTGAACACAAATCAACTGTGATTTAATGGTGTACTCGAATAGACTAACAACCTACAATACGTCACTAGAACAGTTTTTTTTGCCGTGTAACACCGTGTAATTATTGTATCGTGTCAATGACGTCGAAATCCTTGGTTATTTTTGTTTTAAATTCTTTATTTTAGAGATTTTTTGTCTAATCCTTGGTTATTTCTGTGGGGAAAAGGGAGGTGATTCGTGCGTGTGAGCAAACTAAGTAGAAGGGTGGGTCAACTTTACAACCCCCTGCTCCCCACTGCTCTTTCGATCTGTATTGATTTCGCTTTCGCTTTATCTTTTCCCACAGGTCCTCTGTCGGTGGATTCTCAGCGTGCGGAAAAACTACCGCCCGGTCAAGTATCACAACTGGCGCCATGCTCTGAACGTGGCCCAGACGATGTTCGCCATGATGAAGACGGGCAAGATGGAGCGCTTCATGACGGATCTGGAGATTTTGGGCCTGTTGGTGGCTTGCCTGTGTCACGATTTGGATCACCGGGGAACGAACAATGCATTCCAGTCGAAGACGGACAGTCCGCTGGCCATCCTGTACACCACGAGCACGATGGAGCACCACCACTTTGACCAGTGTGTGATGATACTGAACTCGGAGGGGAACAACATTTTTCAGGTAGGTTTCGAGAACTGTGTCATCAGGACTGTGCACTGGGGCAGTTTATTCAGCTGGGATAAATAGATTCTCATGTTTGAATGGGAAACGAGCTATGAATAAAGTATGTGACGGTGGGAGAGTGCCATTCTGAGGAAGCCTATGGGGGGTGTTGGGATGGGTGTTTAGTGCTTGTGTCACGCAAACACTTGGAAACCCAAGCAATATAGACAATTCAAAGGCTGAGGGGAGGTGTAATTTTGCGATGTCACGAAATGTAAGATAAACAACACATACCACCAGGGTAGTTGAAAGCTTAACAGCTACCTTGAATTTTCCCATCAAACGTTCCTGTGAAACACAAAAGCTTTCCATTTGAATTGCCAATGAACGACGCATTTCTAAGGATTCTCAATTTAGAACCTCCAAGCAAACAATCAACCAAGGACACGTTGAGCGAGCACGTACATCATCAGATTAATCAAACGCCCACGACAAACCAGCAGCTGTATCGACGACTAAGGCAGCCGCCAGGGAAATTTCATAGATACCTTCTGACGACGAAAGCGGAAAATCATTGAACACACACTCCACACGTGTATGTTTGTTTTCACTTACAGCTCTCTGGTTAAGGCTCGGGAAAGAGATCAGCGAATTAAATTCCTAGCATGTGCGACGTTCGGGAGTAGATAGGTACGTACACGATCCAAGGCTCAAGGGAAATAGGAAAACTCTGTAAACGATATGTTTATGCTTTCAGTGTTCACACGAGGGTGTAGAATTGTGGAAAACCTTTAAGCGGGGATTAGATTATATGATTGCGAAAATAAGAAACGCATTAGCGCTTTAAGTTGATTTCTTGTAGCGTCATTTTTCCTCTCCCTTAGTCAGCTTAAATTATCATGGCATCATCTCCATTTTCCAGGAATAGTCAATTTTGATTTAGGTCCAAGGGCAAAACACTGGACCACTATCGTTAAAACTAGATAACTAACCCTACGTATAATAGATCCAAACGATTACTTTCGTTTGTAAATAGTGCTTAATCATAGGAATAAAAGCCGTTCCTGGTAACTTTGAGACAGCTAACTGGGAGTCTTAACCTGGGAACTTAACCATAGTGGTCGAACAAAGTTTGTTAGGATCATGTTTCGCCCCTCCTATCCCTTTTAGATACGTATCTTTCCACGTTTTTTAGTAAAAAGTAATTGGATCGGAAAAGTAACAGATCTTTGTGTTGAGGTTTGAGCAAAAGTTTGCAATTGACCGCAGGTGAGAAATATATGGAGGGAAGAATCCTTGGTTATTACAGATATCAAAGCGCTCGATTTGATTTATCGTCCTGCTTACGAAATTCTTGCGACTGGAATGATGGTCACTTCAAAGCACTGCATATTTTCAGCTTAAACCGGGCCACTTGTTGCAAAATTATGCTGCTTCTCTCTGGACTTCAAAATGTATGCAGCAAACTACTAATTTAGGTACTCATATCAATTAGAAAAAAAATAACGAAAAAAATCGAACATACATTCTTTTTCTAAGTTAACAGAAATAAAATAGAAAAAAAATGTGGGGTTGCATACAAGACACGACCGCATGGTTGACGTAGACTACGATGAGATGTTTAGTGAACTTCTCGTGCATTTTTCTTGATATTGATTTGAAATACAGTAGAAGTAACTTATTTCCTCAATTTGCTCCATTTCCCCTACTTGACATGTCAATTTTCTCACCCTTATTGGCTATTTTTCTGACTGTTTCTGGAATTTCCGTTGGGGATATTTTTGCATATGAAACACTTGTCTTAATCCTCCGTTATAAAATATATTCCCCGTGCACACTTCAATGCCGATCCCATCTACGTTGAACATTTGTTATCGATAACACGTTTAACCAAATGCTTGATCGCAGTGGGATACCTCCTGTGGGAAATCGCAAACTAGCATGTATTGCACATCCCAGCTCAAGTAACATTTTAAGTTTTATTGAGGTTTTAAAGCACTCTACAAGTCTAAATCATAGTCTACAGTACCCTCATGAAACCCAAATTGTTACGTGGGAGGTAACCAATAAGCCCGCTAATATGGATACAGGGCTAATACAGGGCTTTATAGCATTATTAGTCGGATTATTACAAAGCAGGGTTGTTGGTTACTTGGGATTGCCCCCTCACTTTATTTCCATCAGCATAATCGAAAATTTGATATTCAGAGTTGTGTAAATTCATATGATTTTTACAGTTCTTATAATAATGCATCAGTAATTTGTATACAACATCCGAAGTCCCTCCTTTTTTACATATTCTCCAGAAAAAAATACATCTGAAGTCTCTCCTTTTTTACATATTCTGCACAAAAATTACTTTCTAAGCTCCGCCCTTGACAGGATTTCCCGTCTTTTTTATGAATGGGGCATGACAGCAAGTATCTTTTCTGCAGAATATGTAAAAAAGGATGTACTTCAGAAGTTAATATATTTGCATATAAAGAGGTACCAGACATGTTTTACACTTTTTTGTAGCTGTGAGCGATACAGCATACATGACATACAAATTTTCTCTCAACTTGAATTTTTGGCTCTTTTAGCGGGAGAAAAAAATAAACGTCAATTCTTTTTGAGTTGTCGTTATAGGAGGGGGGGTTGTTATATAAAAATAAAATTTGTCGCGTTTCATATTATTTGAACGGGACCGAAACAGTCGCAATAACTCTTTCTGTTAAATAAGTGTGGTTCTGAAAAGGATCAATTGTTCGATCTTCACAAATTCCACATCCTCTCCAACCCATCTTTGGTTGTCATCAAAGTAGCATGACTGCTACTATTTTACCACACCGTCCGTCCGATGCGAAAATGGGCGGATTCACAACAGCAGTGCTCTAGCCAGACTGCGATAATGTTCAGTAGAGGCAGAGGGAAAAATTTCACCTTTTCTTGATTTGCTCCTGCTTCTGGTTGCCAAACCGTCCGAATCTTTAATGAGTGGAGAAAGTTTAGTTTTAGTTTAAATGATCTTTATTTTAGTTTAACTTGGACGATTACCATATAAATTTTTACTAAGTGATTTAATTGCTTTCTTCATCTTTAGGTATGGGCAAAATTCAAAATTTGTTTTACAGAATTAGTCCTAGACTTAGTACACGGTCGACCACCTTGGTGGGATTGGTTTGTTTTGTTTTTAGAATTTGAAGAGAAACTACTTAATACTACTATTTACAGCTTAAAACTAACCTACTCTACTATATACACTTAACCTACTATGTACAAATTGCTTATTAAAGCATGTTCAGAAAGATTGCATTTTTGAATAAATTTAGTTGTCATATCATCAATTTTGGAATCTACTTTGGGAATTTCTGCCTCTTGATGGAGGTCTGCTATTCTTGTGTCGAATGGACGATCTAGGATCATCCTCAACACTCTATTCTGTGCAACCTGGATTTTGTTCCTGTGGGTCTGAGCGCACGATTCCCACACCGGGGCGGCATAGAAGATCGCGGGGGCTATGATCTGTTTGTAAACAGCCAGTTTGTTTTGCCTTGAGAGGCGGGATCTGCGGCAAATGAGCGGATACAAACACCTAACCAAGGCGGAGCACTTAACTAGGGTTTTCTCTATGTGCGAGCGGAACAGGAGCTTCTCATCGAACAACATCCCGAGATAAGTAACATCAGTGGACCACTCGACCCTTGTACCATCCATTATTATGAGTGGAGAAACGACAGCAGAGCTCTTATATAGTTTTACTCGTTGAAGCAAAACGATGCGCAACCAAATGGTCCTCGATTATGACGACTTGGTTTAGGTAAAACGTTTATTTCATTGAAACAGTGATACAATTATCACTTTGTATTTGTACACTTTCAACGGTTTTTTTTATTGGAAAAGCATTTATTGTAGCAGATTGTGAGAATTATTTCCTATCGATTGGTGTATTTGGATTTTAATTTCATCTATAAATGACAAAGTTATAAGCGTTCAAAACCTTACATCTTTTCATGACGGTCGCAATTTTAGATATTCGATTTACCCCCAGTACCTTCCCGTAAGACGTAGTCAACGTCAAAAATATATCCGCGCAAATTTAGAATGGGAAGAATTAAACAAATATTCGCGTAGAGTTTCCCTACTGTTTGCCATAACAACAGAAAAACAATACGTATCGCTTTCAAAATTGGGCTGTAAACAGTTAAAATATAGGAGCTTACAATGACATCTAAGGATTAATCGTTGGGTTGCAGGTCATTACATAAAGTATCGGCCAAAAATGTGCACTTTTTTAAATGCAAACGTAAAAATATGTTTTGCTGTGTGAAGCAAGGTGTTGAATTTGTTAAATCCAGCTATATTGTTAAAAATAAAGGACGTAAAACAAATACCTAAGTTCCGAAGTTTTAAGAAGTCATAGAATTATAAGCTAGACTATAATCATTTTAATAGAATTGACTACCCCCTGTATTCCCTTTCTTATTTTACAGCTGGTATAATCAAATTGACAGATTGATGTCTTTCTATACCAATTGAAATCACTGAAGTGGGGTCGATTTTTGATGATCGAGTTCCACATATGTTATGTGGTAGCTGTTTTGCTGGGTGAAGACGAGCATTTTGTGCATCCATTTACAATTGAAGAAATCAATAAAATTAAATAAACAAGATCCAATAAGGGTCTCACAAAAAGATATTCATAGTGAGCTTCTAAAACGAATAAATTTATATGGTTGTCTCTTGTTACACCCGTCCGTATTATCAACGTAATTCCTGGGCAAACTTATTACTATTTACTTATTACTTATTACTTACTTAAACTATTATTAAGTTACACAGTTATGGACATAGTGACAATGACAACTCAAATACCATGAAAAATTCTGAAAAATTTAGTGATCACATAAGTGAAGTAGTTGTTAATCAGAATTTTCTAGAATATCAGCTAAAATTGAGTTCTGGTGATTTTTGCATATGGGTAATGGTTGAAGATCCGTTGTCGCAAGATATTGAAAATTTAGTCAAAATGATAGCTA